TGTTACTGGTGAAATGCTAGCATATATTGTGACAGCTCTGCCTATAGGATTTTTGGCAAGTTAATCTTGACAAATCCATATTATCTTCATTGTTGCAGTTTACTCTTCCTGTCATGTTTGGTTCCCCCCCCCCTCACATTTTAACTGTATTTTACCCAGTGTATCTGGACAGAAGAAAAATGGGCCAAGCCAGCACAGTGCCATAAATTGTTGGCAAAGACCATATCTTAATTTCCACACAGCTATATTAAGGAAATGGGAGACCCAGAGACTTTTCAGAGGTGACTTAGAAAGCCTGGAGTAGTCATTCATCACTGAGAAGAGAAACACCTTCAGATGCTCCCACTAAGCAAGTTAGGCAGCCTCCTGAGTATATTGCAAACAGAGACCATTTTAAACAGAATCCATTAGATAAAGGTTTGTTGTTGTAGAGGAGAAGCCAGGGGAAAGTAGTGCTGTATATGGTGTATTTCTTCATTGCTTGAGTAAAATGGGATTACCAAGCAGGGCTCAAATATGTTCAAACCCTGAAAGTCCTGTGTCAGAATCTAAAACGGCACTGACCTCAATCTGATGGAGTAACTGAATCCATGTGCATTGGATTTTTTGAAAGCCTCAGGCATGCTGATGATGCTCATCTTGTCAAGAGAATTCAGTCCCTTCGTATAGAAGGGATCTGTGGGGCCATGGCTCTGGTCCCACTCCTGGGATGATGTGGACATCTGAGGAGTGCAAACATTGGCCTGTAGGCCTGGGTTCTGGAATCAGGAAAACCAACCTGCCTAGCTGCCTACATGCCCATATTTCCTCACCTCAGACAACCATGTAAATGCATGGGCAGTGTGAATGGGACCGGGAAGACCTGTGCATTCTATACTCTTGGTGCTTCAAGGTATTGTGCCCTGTTCCTCAAACCCTGCCTCCAGCAGAGTTCTGGGGCCTCCTATTGCCTCTTGCAGTCATGTGGTAGTAAAGAGTTGCCCTCCTGCACTGCTAAGGGTTCTAAGGGGGAATCCTCAAAAGAAAAACCAGCATCCTTCGAAAAATTACTGGGCTACAACACATATTATTCCTGACCATGGTCATTCTGGCTGGGATTGATGGAAGTTGGAGTCCAACACCATTTAAAGATCTACAAGTTCCCTGTCCCTGGTTTCATCTTACTGTATTAAGATTTGATTGGTCTATAATGTTTGTATAACCACCTGTTTAAATTCTGTTGATCTGTCTTTAAATTGTTCTTGAATTACCATGAAATGTTGCTATATTTTATTATGCAATGTTCTTTTTCTAATGGTATGAGCCTCTTTAAATCCAGCAAAGAGTTTGCCATGTGTGATGAATGCACTCCATAATATAGAAATATGTGCCTTTGTTATATGGTATGTGGATTTTGCATGATTTATCAATCAGACATGTCTTTCTTGTAGGAAATCATCTTCTGCAAAGCATCCTTTATTATTTCTGCTCGGAACAGAGTCTATCGCTTCTTGATTCCACAATATGTTTTTGCAGGATATTGTCAACAATATGACCTTTTGGGGAAGTTTAAAATTGTTTTCACACTTCCAGCGCTGCCTTCGTTAGCTTGACAGAAATATGTTTACAGTATAAAAATTCATTCTAAGGTGTTACAAATCACCCATTGTTGTTGTTGTTTCATTGTATTCCTTCATTAGCTGCGTATCTCCAGGAGGGAGGAAATGTAGAAAGTGGAATTTTGCTTTAAACAATCGAATCTGTATTCTGTCATGCTTTCCATCTCCCAAGGAAGGTATCTGAGAACTTACTTGTCTGTTTTTATTTATCTTGCCAGTGAAGTGTATTGATGAGAAGAAACAAGGTCCAATGGTGTTAAAACAAGACATGAAATATTGATTAATTCATTTTTAAAATTCCTTTTTGCTCCCGAGTATAGCTGTTTTAAAATGCTACTGTCAATATAGTACTTTCTAATAAACCTTCGCTATCAGAAGAATCCTCTTTCTTCATAGTACTTTGGTAAATGACTATTATCCTTCCAAATTGGGAGCTTTAAAAAGCTCAAGGTAGCATCTTTTTACTGCTAAGAGAGGAAGCTGGTTAGAGAGAGCACAGATAAATGCTGTTGTGTCTGACAGGAACTGCTCCTCATGCTCTCTCCAGAATTTGGTTGAGAACTGCGAGTAGTTAGCAGTAAGTATTCTAGGTGGCTGGAGGCAATGCTTTTCATAGTGGCTGGAGAAACTCAACAGACAGATAAAGAGAAGGGTTAAAAGAATGACAGTTGCAAGAGGCAAGAAACTGCTCTGCTTCAGTGTGGCTTTATTAGTGCATTGGAGTGAAGGACAGTTACAGACTCATCTCTAGCAGGTTTTCTTGGAACGAAATCCCACAGTGTTAAATAGGACTTCATAGTGAGTGTAGCATTTTAGCCTGAATAAATCTCAAAGTGCAGAGAATGAAGAAACAGCAGTGGTTTCATTAAGGAGGAAAGAAAGAGCTTGACACTTAGGGTGTGTGTAGAGTTTGAATGGATCTTGAGTCCTGAGCTGAAGCAAGGTGCCTCAAAGAGATTTGGGTCTTATCAGCAGCGAAGTAGGATCTGTAAAAGGAAATACAAATCGAAGCATGGGTCCTAAAAGAGCTTCATGGCACCTCAACAGTCCAGACTAAAAAAAATAAATGCTGCAGTTAAGCATCTTCTAAAACTCAAAGTACTGTACTTTTCTATGTATTAGACAAGGTTTTTTTACTCTAAAACAAGGTCTAAAAACTTATACATGGGTAGTGGGTAGGTGTGACGGATGATCGGTTGCAGCCATGAGCTGCAGGTTGTCATTGGTGTGTGATTGGTAGCTGCAACAAATGCTGCTTTGTATTGGCTGATGTGCGTTAAATGGGTGTGTGATTGGTTGCTGCGTCAATTGCTGTTGTTGATTTTCTTCCGCTGCATTAATTTGGCTTGTGATCTGCGATTGGGCAGACATGTTTTGCAGATCCGAGTGATTGTTAGCGAGCGATGTTGAAGGTTGGGTTAGTGATTTACTTTATTTCCCCCCCAAAAAATACCCCAACAACCTTTGTCATTCCCCCCACTCCACCCCCCAAAAAGCTCAACTACTCTTGGCAACCCTCCCCAAAAAGCAACTCTGGGCCATTTTCTTAATTTGGAGTCCCCAAAAATAGGGGGCCTTATACAAGGGGGCGTGTTATACACGGAAAAGTACGGTAATATCCCCAAGCTTGTCATTTAAGGAATGACACCCAGATGGGATGATAGGGGGAGGGAGATAGAGCACTGGAATCAGGAGAGGGCAGATGGGGTGCTCCAATCCCAACTTCCAGGTCCAGTTTGTAATTGGAATGGGCTTCAGTTCTCCTGCCCTAAAACAACCCTAAATATTTATAGACACTTGATAGGTACCCAGACCATAACTCCTGAAGCTATTTGCCTGAATTTGGCAAGTTTTATCCAATATGGAGGGCTTGTAAAAAGAGCGGGGAAAGATGTAGTCCCTTTTTTAAGAGACAATGAAGCACCTTTGCACAATGTTCCGACAACCTCCCATGGTCATAATATGAATTCAGGCATTCATCCATGCCGTTAATGATCAGGTACCTGGATCAGGGTGCAGAAGTATTTTGGCAACATCCCATGTGGAGCTATAATAGCTCTCCTCAAGTATCCATTCATGTGATTCAAAATTAGAAGGAAGCCCAAAGGGGGGGGGGTGTCTGCTGGCTCCATCCCTGCTGTCACGTCTCCACCAATCCCAAAACCAGTGTGTTGTGAAGGGAACATCTGTAGACAGGAACTGGCTGTATATACATAGGCTCCCTTCAGGATTTAGAACCCTGTACATCTGTTGTTCAAGTTTGAGAGAGAGAGAGAGAGAGAGAGAGAGAGAGAGAGAGAGAGAGAAGAAGCAACCATTTCATAGTAAGAAAAAGTGAAAGACCCAGTGAAAGGACTTGGGAAACAGATGTAGATATGATCTCTTGCATGGGAAACCACAATGAACCTCATGTTACAGTTTGACTAGGTTTGGAATGGGGAGTCAAAAAAAGATCAAGCTAAGATTCCAGTATAACTAGAGAAGATACGATGCTCTGGATTTTAGTCATCCCATGAATGACTTAGGTTTGTAGCAGCAAACCTAAGTTGTAACCATGTTTACCTGTGACAGTAAGCTGAGACAACCTTGCTACTGTTGATAGGAATATGTGCTTATAATCACATAAGTCTCCTGCACACATTACATTTTAGGTAGGGCTGATTACCTAAACACACAGCATGTGAATCATTCTTGAGAAGGCTTCCCCAACTTGTTGCCCTCCAGATGTTGGACTACAACTTCCTTAATGTTCCTGGTGTGGGTCTTTGGGGAGTTGTAGTGCAAGGCATTTGGAGCACACCAGATTGATGAAGACTAATCTTGGAGGGGGAAGCAGTTCTTGAGAAAGCAGGAGTTCAGCTATGCTGACAGTTATGTAGCAGAATGAGTAAAGTGGGAACTGTGAATTTATGTTAATTGTGGGGAAAGGGCTTCATCAGGGTCAAAGATGGCTACTTCCCAGAAGTTCCAATTTCAAATATGTGTCATTTTAATGTTACATGAAAGCATCTAAGTGTAAAGGTCACACTCTGGTGCTACACATTTGTTTCTTAAAGTTGTAAATAATTTTTCTACATTATCCTACATAAATTTCCAGATTTCAGAAATGCATATAGTCAAATCTTAGGTATGATTTTTTGCAAAAAATAAGTCCAACTAGGCTCTCAGGTGAGTGTACATAAAATCACAGCTTTAGTGTATAGCATTTCTTTTGCAGGCTAACCCAGAGAATCCAAGCCTGCTGGAGTTGGAGGGCAACAATAAATAACTCGAAATAATTACATATTTTTGTCAGTTTGTCAAGTTGCTGAATGTCTTTTGTGCCAGATAACAGATGATATGTCTTTGAGAAAATGTTAGCAATTCCTCAATGTGGTTTCCTGTGTGTTGTGTCTTTTACAGAATCCAGTCAGGATCCTATCTCAGTACTGGTTGGTTTACCTTAATTCTGGCTATGGATGCTTGCTACAGAATACATGTCTATGGGATGATAAATGACACCTACTGCAAGTAAGATCACAGGAAATTATTTTCATGCATCTACAATTCTGATGCCTTGTCAAAATTTCACAATTCATTTTAATGCCATAAATCCAAGAAATTGATTAGGCAGGCATCCCCCCACAGCAGTCTGTATTGATGTGGCACTTTATTGTCAGTGTATTTAGTCCCCATATGGCATGTGGTATTGATTAAATAAAAGCATTTACAAAAGTTTAATGTCAAATGTCATGAAGAAGTTTTACAATGAAAGACTTTCTGCCAAATCAGAATGAAGCCGGGGACACGGGGACACATTTCTGTTAGCTTCTTACAGCTCCTGTGCAGTGAGAGTGTACAGTATAAGAAGCAAAAATCTATCCTCTCTTGGAATTGAGTAAACTACTGCAAATAATTTGAAGTGATTCGCCCTGATACAGGTCAGGAGATCCACCTGCACAAGCAGCTGCTGGATCAGAAACCGCAGGCATGAATTAGATGTGCATTAAAATGCACATTGAAATGTACAAGTGCACAGCAGAGGGTGTTCCTGTCTGCGTTGCATTACTTTCAGCTGCATTTGATAAACATTCTCACACAGCTAGTTATCAATATGTAAATACCTTTTTATGTGCAAATTATAATTATAATTAATTATAAATATAATAGAGGAAAATTGGAGTGATTATGGATTCCTTAATAATACGGATAATAATAATAATAATAATAATAATAATAATAATAATAATAATAATAGAATAGTTAGACACACTAGCCAGGCACACTAACTATTCCTAACAATTTTACTATATAGGATGCAGGCCTGGTCAGGATGGTTTTCCTGTTATAGATTCTGGGCTTGACAAGGTACGTGAGCCTCACCTGAGCCTTCTCCAGCTGAGGAATCACACACCTCCTCCCCGAGCTAACAAGCCCCACCTGGGCTGTGGATCCTTGCCTGCCTTCCCTCTGAACTGACAGCTGAAAGTTCTGGAATCCTGAAGTCAGGGAGTGATATGTCCTATTTTGCCACTTAGGGCAAAACAGGAAGTGCCACCCTGCTCTGCCACACCACCACCACCAGTGGGGCACTCACCACCACTGCGCCATCTGCCAGTGGCGACTGCAGCTGTACCACCAGCTGTGTCACCTCCTCCGCTTGTGGAGAAGCACTGCTGGCATTTGGGAGAGAGCTTGCGAGATCTCTCCCAAATCTCAAGAGACATTTTTGCTCTCCTAGACATCTTGCAAGACTTTGATGAGCTCACGCAGGCCTGGTGTCAGGATGCTGTCAGCGGCTCCTGACTGGTTGCCCAGGAAAGTATAAAGACAAGGAAGAGTTTCTTACCGTCCTTTTTTATTTCAGGCTTTACATAGAGAGACTATAGAATCCAGCCTCTTGGATAATGGCTTTATCCCAAGCGAATCTCCACCTCCTGTCTCTCCCACTTTCTCATTCATCACTTCTACATGTGCTGCTATGTGCTCTTTGCTCTCCTACTTTTAAGGCTTGTCAGGTTTGGGGAGATGGAGGGTCTGGAATGCTTTCTAATGACCACATTTCAGCCAGCTGCTCCTGCTCCTCTCCTATTATTTCCCAACTTTTCCCTTCATCTGCCTCTGAGCTGCCACCTCCCTCAGACCCCTGTTGTAAATCTATACTGTCTTCCTCTTCTTCCTCCCTGGAAGTGTCAGGATGGGGAGGCAGTCTCCACCATTCCTCTTCTGCCCAGTACCTGACAGAAAGGAATGACATTTTCCCATCCTTCTAAGATCTGCTCAGCAAAGCTATTTATTCTCTTATATATGCAGATGATGGAGTTCTAATTTCACAGACATGGTTGGGTCTTGAGCTGTTACTGATTGAATTTGCTGATTACTGTAAAAAAAAAAAAAAAAGAATCCTTAACTATCAAACATTCAAAATCCAAAATTATGGTATTCTCCAAGAAGAAGATGAAAATTTTCTGTGTCCTGGATAATCATGGATTTGATCAAATTGATTTGTATAAATATTGTTTCAGCTTGGGAACCCAGGGAATACTGACAAAGGCCAAAGCACAGCAGTCTGGGAGTGCAATAGTTTGTTTCCCTTGTACAAAGGGTAGACTATTTATCCTAATGGCAATTTGTATTTTTTCAAACAAAATTGCATCCCAGGTTCTTTTTGGAACAACTATTTGGTTTCCATGTTTTAAAATCTCTCCAGAATGTCTTTCTTCTATTTATATAGAAACCATTTGTTTTTCAATGTTACTCTAAATTTGGAAGCTGGTCTAAATTCTTTGAGCAGCCTGGCTTAGACATATTCCTTTCACTTTTGACTTATGCAATTGGGCTTTCCTCCCCACCCCCAGCCCCTTAAAAAACACTTGATGAATATATCTCTATTTCGAAACACTTGTTTGCTGCATTTATATTTTATGTGTTCTGGTCAGGAGTCAGTTAAGGTTGTTGTTTTTTTTCCCTGAGGCAAAGGACACTATGCTCCCATTCCTGCTTTGATGTCCTTCCTTTCCCCTTGATTTCCTGTTGCCATTGATGTTCTGCTTTACTTTATTGAAAGAAATGCACTGGAAATAATGTTTTTAAAAATGCCCCCGTCCCAATCTGAGGGTCACAGGCTAGTTCAGGAGCTGCATCATAGACCTGTGTGGCACACACTACTCTCAGAAGTTTTATGACATTCAAACAGCTTATAGGTTTTGTTAAATAAATAAAAAACCTCCAGAAGACGGGAATGGCTGAAGGTTCAGGAGGAGTAACCAGTGCTGTCCTCAGTATCTGCTGCTTGAGGTGATTGCCTCACTTTCCCTAATGATAGGGCTGGCCCTAGTTCTGGTGTGCCTATGAAATATTGTAGGTGTGATGAACTTAATGAATAAATCAGCCCTGTGACTGTGTAAGCAGTTCGCAGACTTAAACTTCATTATTAATATCCATTCATACTGTGCTCTGCATGTTCCAAATGTGATCTCCTTCTTTTGTCCAGAAGCTTTTACTGTGACTTTTATTTAATGTGTACAGATGTGTTTATGGTAGATTTATTTACATGGCCCAGAAAATATGTTTCAGTGACTTCTGTGTTTTGTCTTTGTTCCAGGTCAGAAGGCTTTAGGAAAGTTCCTTATCACTATTATGAGCCTGGAAGAGATGAATGTGATGAGTACTTTCTGCATGAAAATGCACCCTATGGAGGCCACAGGTTTATCACAGAAAAAAAAGTGTTTGCTGACTGGGCTAAGAGGCGCACAATAACATTTACACATCCTAACTGGACATTGTCATGATGCTGGTTCTCACGTCGTCCCTTAAGGAGCATAATGTTCCATTCAAGGCATGCCACAGTTTACAGGGATATTTTCAACTTACTTGACTTCCACAACTTTAGTGGCATGGAAGAAACAAGATGGTCCCACCATTTAACAAGTGGAGTGAAACTTATCCATCTATGGAAGACATGCAAGATGCTTATTCTATCTCTTGGGGTTGGGATAGAATAATGCACTTTGTTTTTAAACTGGACTTTATTTTTATTTTTTTTTAAATCAAGATGGTAACAGTTTGGTTTTAATATGATAATGTTCTTAAGGAAGGAAATACACAATCCCACACAGTCCCACTATCCTGGCTGTCTGTGGAGAAATGATATAAATACTTGAATTTAGATTGTGAATTAGAGTTTTCATTACTAAGAGAACCTTCTTGTCTTAGGCGCAGATTGTTAAGGGCCAGCTGCGTATGTGTTTGTTTGTTTTTAAAAATATACGCGTGGCTACAAATTCACATTATATGAGAAAATTAGAGATGGGTTAAGAAAGATTCCTGAACTCCAATTAGTTTCTACACATGGGAATTTTGTATGTTTGAAGCCCAGGAGTACTTCATATGCTGTGAATGACAACCTGCTGCAGCAGCGGTTCAACAATCCAGGCTTTCTGGACATTGCCTCAAATTTTCCTGGCATGCATCAACACAGCTACCTTCTGCTCTAAAAAATACTCCGTAGACGTGGACAGCACATTTCATTAGGGTGTGCACCCAGGAATTTATTGAATACATATTCATACTCCATCATAAAGGATATTAATTGTATACATCAAATGAACTAAAGTAAGTAAAACTTAACTAAACTCTTTTATTTTAATTAACAACTAAAATATCATTTATTTATTTAGCTGTAGTGATTATCAGGTGTATACAAAGATACAGTCAGTTTTATTTTTCTTTATATTTATTTACACAACCAAAATTGACCAAAACAGATTAAGGGTGCTTCATCTTCCTGTCTTAGAGAACGAGATGCTTCTCACCATGAGTTATGGACTTAAATTCCTCAACCACATCAATCTAATTAACTGAAAAGCAGCCCTTCACTCCCACAGATATCTCTACACAAAAGGTGACAAATGGAGCTCAGGTGGAGACAGAGCTATGAGACAAAAGAAGGCTAGGATGTCCAACTTCCTACCTTACTACCACTACAGGAACCAATCATCTCATCACTGCTTCTAGGGGCAGACTCAGGCAGAAGCTGCAACTCCACCCCAGATCCATTCCAGCCTTTTTATTCTGCCTATGTCTCTCTGTCCGTTCCCCTTCCCTTCCCTTCCCTTCCCTTCCCTTCCACTCCCTTCCCTTCCACCTTTGTCTCTCTCCCACCACTCTTCCCCACAGGTCCTGGCCACTGAGGGAGCTGTGTTGCCACTTTGTTCTCTTTCCTCCACACCACAATTCCTGTTTTTTAAACAACAAGAAGAAGAAGAACAATGTTAGGGTGTGCCTTGGCACACCCAGCACACCCAATGTGCATGTCTGCAGTATGTACACTCCCTTTTTGGAGCAGAACTTATATAGCTGTTGTTTGACATCTTAAGGAAGCTCCACAGACCTGCATGTGGAAATAGAGGCCCTGGAATCTCATACCTCTAAAATGGTTTTGGATAGCAAATCCTTTGTGGTCTTGAGCAGTTTAGCTCAACTCTGCCTCAAACTCTCCATGTTGAAAAATGGGGATAATACCTACCTCACAAGGCCATTGTGAAAATGAGTGTATGGACTTTTGGTGATAGTTCATTTGAATGGCTTCTTCCTAGCTGTGGGAGCTTCATACACATTCCTCTGTGTTTTGTACTTTGAGGAACATTGAATCTGAAGTGTGAATCCATGCTAGGCAATGATGGCTGCATTTGGATGTCATAAAAAACAAACAAACAGGAGTAGACCCAGCCTTTTTTGGAACTGATGCAGTATGTGCTCATCTTGCCTCCTCTGGTGTGGTGAAAGGAGGAGTTTAGAAGCAATCACTTCAGATTTCAGTTAACCACAGTTTAGTGTTACATCCAAACCCTAAACTTTGGTTAATGTTAACTATGTTTTGTTGAAACAAGCCAGCTTCATAATCTATGGGTTGAAGTTGGCTTGTTTTCAACAAACCATACCTGACAGTAGCCACAGTTTTACAGTTGTGTAAAGCACAACAAGCTTTGGTTAATCAAAAACAGAAGTGAAAACTTCCAAATTCCTTGTTGCTGGATTGCAGGAATCAACAGAACCCAGAGGGGGGCTAGGCTCTCATTGCTTTCAGTTTATCATGACATCCAACCTCTAAATATCATCATTCCTATTGTAACCACTCAGTGTGCATTGACTTCTTCTGAAGGTTCTTGTTCTCAGAAAACTATCCCTTTAATGGATGGAGCTCAGGAATGTTTTCTATTTGCCCATTTCTAATTGAAATACTACCCTGATTTATCTGTTTGTGTGAGGATCATACAAAAGTTAGATAGTTAGCTCAGCAAATTAGTTATGAGCCTATGTAACAGAGACAAATATTTAAAGCAGAGGAGGTAGATGAGACAGATAATGACTGCGATTCCAGTAACTGCTAATCCATAGTTTAATGCAAGTGGGAGGAGGAGTTCAATAGCTTATGCTTGCATTTCTGCTTAACCACAGCTTGCCATGCCATCTGAACCAACAAACTGTCGTTCATGTGAACTATGGTTTAATTAAAACAGACTAACTTCAAATGGTGTTTCAACAAGCCATAGTTGACATTAACCATGGTTTAGGGTTTAGATGAAATACGAAAATTGAAGTTAAGGGGGATAGGAAGCAAAGACTTCTAGACATCTCTTGCAGTTAGTTCAGAAGCCTGAGGCTCTAAGCACAATCACATTACACTAAACTATGGTTTAGCATGGCTTTTGAATACTGTCAGTTAATCAAAGTTTGGATAATGAGGCTTCTACTGTACAATGTCTCCTTATTTCCATTTACATCAGAAGAGGGTTTTTTTCATATAAAAAATCTGAAATAAGTCTTAAGATCCATACCATTTGAAAAGATTCTCTGATAATAACCTGGGTATCAGAACAACATTGAACTAGTACTGCTAAAACTTGAAAAGAGGTTTATTGACCCTTACTCTTGTAGAACTGTCAAAAAGCCTAAGCATTGAAACCACCAGGCATTTTGTATTACTTTGCTGAATCATGAACAAGTGATTGCAAAATCCTATTTTTTACATGTGTTTGTATAAGGATTGTTATTTCCTGTTGTATATTTGTATATAGAGTTCTATCTTTTATATGTCCACAGTATATATATATGTTCTCATTCCATCATCACCATTATTAAGTGCCACCTTCCTGCACTGGGGTTTTTGTGCACATCATGCAGTTGTGTGATTTTACACCTGGGTAGTTGTCTTCTGCACTTCGCAGCATACTAAAGATGAGCTCTCATTTCTCCCCAGGTAGATTCTCACTCAACTCTAATAAATTACCTCAAGCCCTTGCTTTATTTGTGGGCTTGTAACTACCTCACGGTAAACACAACGAGTTTCTCTTGGTTCAGCAGTCAAGGGTTAGAACAGAACGTGTGCACAAACCTTGTCAGGAAAACATCATTCACCAGCAGTGCTCTTGAGTACTCCATGACTTCCTTGCCGCTCCTGATATTAGTCTCATTGCTTTTATTCCTCCTGTGACTGTGCCCTTGCTTGCCAATTGTTAGAAATGTCTTCTACCTTTATTCATTGTACTTTGCTTTTTATTCTTTATACAGTTCAGCATATACAGGCAGAGCAGGATGAGGATGTTAGGAAACTGTGAGTAAATGCACCGTATAAACATATATTCCATTTTATACTAGTTTGGTGATATGGCTTCCCCTTCAGAATTACAGTTTGTTGAGGGTGCTAAGAATACTCTGCTAACCATCCTATTCATGTCCACAGTTTGGGATAACAGGATGACTGTTATACCACTTTTAAGGGAGATACTCCTTGAAATTAGTTGAATGTATCAAGACAAGTGGCTTCTCAACATACTAGTTGGGCATTTTAGTAAAACAGAAGAGCAATCAATTAGTACCCCATTTTAAAAAGTGCAGCTTTTTGTTGAACCATCCATCAATTGTGCTGTACAAAGTGCTTTGCTATCACTAGTCTCCTAGCCTAGCATTTGGTCAGATAGCAATCATCATAGAATTCAGCAGGGCCCAAGTGTGACCTGTGGGTTGTGGGTCTTTACAGTTGGTCAGTGTCCTCAAGGGGTTCGGTAATATGCCCTAACCAGATTCTAAGGAACATCAAAGGTTATGTCCCCTCATGTCACCACCACATTTAATTGTCATAATTATTTTATATTGTATTTTTGTTCCTTTATCATGATTTGAATGTACATTTACCCCGTCAGTGAGAGGATACTTGAAGATAGACAGAGAACATGTTCTTATTTGCCTGTTTCTCTGACTTTAACCATTTCAAGATTGCCATTTGAGCTTAGATTTGGGAAGAGCATTAGGATGTCTTCACCATTACTTGTAATGCTGAGACAAACGATGACTTAACATGAACAAGTGTCAGGATACACAGAGAGAAAATAATGACTGTTTTATTCCTCTCCCATGCCTGCTGTACTACCTGGAACTAATGGTTTGGCTTAGCATTACGTATGAATCTAGTCTTGTGGTTGGTCTCACTGCAGCTAAGGTTTGTTCTTGACTTACCACTCATAGTTTACTTGGGGGAGACAAACCACAAGCCTGGGTACACATGTAACATTCAGCCAAACCATAGCTTAGCACCAGGTAGCACAGCATCAGTAGGACAAGGGGAGAAGGCTGCCACTTTTGCTATGTTCACATATGCATTTGCTTGTTCATGCTTAGCTGTGGTTTGGCTTAATGTTATGTGCAAACCAGGCCAGAAATACTTGTTAGGTCTGATATTTCTACCCATGAATTTGTTCCTCCTAAAGTTTCTAATTTACAAGAAGCCACAGCACCTGTAATCTAAAGTGTCCATAATCATATTAACAGTGAGCAACATAATCCAAGCTCCATTGATTTAAGCAGAATTGATTTCCAAGTAAGCGTTTGGACTGAAGATGGGCTCAAATAAGCCCCAATGCCCTGAAGCATCAGCTCCAGCCTTCCCATGTTGAGTAAAAGTGCTCTGCTCTGATTAACATGGGATCTTGGCTCCTTTTAATCTAAACTCGTATGCCATCTGCTTCATACACAAATGAGGCCAATATCTCCCACTTTTCTCTGGGATACATTTGCAGGAAATGGCAATGCTGCCAGGGAAGGATAGCTGCGTGATTAACATGAAATGGAGTCAGCCAGTCACCTTGAAAAACATGTATATGCAACCATACTGCAATTACCACTCCAGGTACTGTTTCCTATTTATTTAGCACTGTGTTGGGGAAAGTGAACCAACTCTAGGGCAAATTGGACAGAGATGAAAGGAGTTTTTAGGCCTTCATGAAGACCTATCAAGGCTGAGACAGGAAGTAAACAGAGTCTAGCTATTTATTCATCAAGGCATTCTGTATGGCATTCAGAAGTCACTTTAGCTTTGTATCCTGCAAGAAATGAAAGATCAGAAAAAGCCGGAGCTGTTGAAAATGCAACACTTCCAGCTCTGAAGAAAATAAGTGGGGGATTGGACCTTTATAAAAGTCGATAACTGTTGTATGTAGCAATGTTGAAGGACACCTTTTACTTGATTTGTGGGCAGACAGACAAGAAAATTTATCCAGTGCTATAAGCTTGAGAACACTCAACCAGAACCTTGTTTTTAGCATCAATAGCATTCTGTTTATGAGGTACTACCAGAAAGTATTTTTGACGGGGGGGGGCACTGGTTTTATAAAGCTCCTTTGATATTTATCTTCTTAGGGATATACACATTTATAATTCATGGAAGGGTTCCCCCCCCCCATCTTTAAAGGCCATTTCTCTTTGATGAGCACCATCTCCTCCCATTACTTGCTTTCTAGCCTTCCTGCATATATTCAGGCCACAATCAAACACAAGTTGAAATAAATAGGCTTAAGTTTGCTGAGTTCTCTACTGGATTGTGGCCCTAGTAAATAAAGTATCAGTGGGATTCTGAACACACTTACTTAGGAGCAGCAGTGCAATCCTATGCAGTCCCTAGTAAGTGTGTTTAGGATTGCAACCCCATTCCCAATGAATTCAGCAGAATTTGTTTTTGAGTAGACATGGCATGGAAATGATTGCAACTGCATATTGACTAGGGATGGGGAAGCTGTAGCCCCCCAGATGTTGTACTACAGCTCCCATCATCCTTTACCATTGGGTGTGCTGTCAAGGGCTGATAAGAATTGGGAATCCAACAACCATTGGAGGGCTACGGTTTCCCCTTCCCTGACATAGATACTACTGTAATAAACCATTTCTTCCCTGTATACTATTGCAGTACTTTTTGAATCACTTTTTCTTGAGCAACCAGGGAAGCCTTCACATGATAATATTCTTATAAGCAGTGCTATTTTTCTAGAAACAGAGGTGCCGGAACTCACCATGAATGCTTCCCTTATATATATCTGCAATGGCGCCCACCTGAGAGATGCCAAAACTGAGTTCTGGTGAGTTCCAGTTGGGGGGAAAGCCCTGATTGTAGGCCTTCTGCAGACTGAGTTGGAATGACAAGAATGCAGCAGGAGTCAAAATAACACTAATTTTCAAGCCTTTCTGATCAGTCCATTGCAAAATGGACTATTTATCTATATGTATATAAAGTTTCCTATTTGATTCCTGTAGTGTTCAAGCATTCAAAAAAAAATTCTGGCCCAAGTTAGGGATGCAGGTACATCCTTTGGTCACTGGTAAGGGCTGCCCCCTCCCAAAAAAACCTTAAGGTGATCACAAAGTGCCCGCTAGCACCATCTCTTCTTCCTCACCCTACCCCAAACCTCAAAAACTTACCTTTAGGGCAAGAGGATGCTAATGTGGTGCAGACAGCAGTGGACACCCCAAGGACACAGTTGAGTATCTCTGCCTGCCAAGGGTTGGTGTGGGACTTCAAGTTGCAGAATCCTCAGTGAGGAAATGATGCTATTTGCATCATTTCTACTAAGGAAAAGGAAACAACATGAACAGAATGATTTCCCCATGTCCCTTAGGATTCTGAGACTAGTACTCCGGGTTCCATTCCTAGTGGGGGGGAATGCTTTGGTAGGTTTCTGGGAGTGCCTGTCACCTCTTGAAATGAGGTGATTTCTTCACACACCCCTTAGTGTCAAGGACTTGATAATTTGAGGATTTGCCCTGGAGTCACACAACCTAGGCAGTTCAACAGGCCTTTAGTTTTCCCTTCTAGTAGAGGGTCTTGGAGGCAGCTTTGGATAAAGCTATTTCTGTTAAACTATTCCTCATTCTTGGTGCCTTTTCTCGGATCCAGAACCATTACACCTCTACTGCTTTATCCTTCCCTTGTCCCAAAGGGAAGTTCTTCAGCTTCAGAGCAGAGTAAAATGGCTGATTTGGGGACCAAGGTAGCTCACAAGAGCAATACAGTGGTGCCTCGCAAGACGAAATTAATTCGTTCCGCAAGTCTCTTCATCTTGCGAGTTTTTCGTCTTGCGATGCACGGTTTCCCATAGGAATGCATTGAAAATCAATTAATGCGTTCCTATGGAAACCGCCTTCAGACCAGGTCCGGGGACAGTCTGTCCCCCGACCTCTTCTGAAGGCTGGGGGGGGGAGGACAAGGGCTTTTCTTCCCACCCCCAGCATTTTAAAAAACCCCGGGACAGCGGAGGACTTCTCCGCTGTCCGGGGCGATCTTAAAATGCTGGCGGGCGGCATTTTAAAATCGCCCCGGGACAGCGGAGGACTTCTCCGCTGTCCGGGGCGATTTAAAAGCCCCTGGGAAGGCAGGCAGGGGGGACAAAGACTTTTGCCCCCCGCCAGCCTTCAGAAGAGGTCCAGGACCTCTTCTGAAGGCGGGCGGGGGGCGAAAGTCTTTGCTCCCCCCCCCACCTGCCTTCAAAAGCCGTCCGGGACAGCGGAGAAACGCGCTGTGTTTCTCCGCTCTCCCGGGAAGGCAGGCAGGGGGGCACAAAGACTTTTGCCCCCCGCCAGCCTTCAGAAGGTGTTCCCGCCCCGCCGCCCGGCTTCGGAGCATCGTTCCGAAGCCGGGTGGCGGGAGGAGGTGTTCCCGCCCCGCCGCCCAGCTTCGGAGGAGGTCCGAGGACAGTGGGGAAGACGCGCTGCGTTTCCCCGCTGTACCAGAGATTTCCCTATGGGCTGTCGTCTTGCGAAGCAAGCCCATAGGGAAATTCGTTTTGCGAAGCGCCTCCAAAACGGAAAACCCTTTCGTCTAGCGGGTTTTCCGTCTTGCGAGGCGTTCATCTTGCGGGGCACCACTGTACTTGGAATGCTCTTCCTTACACTTAGAGTTGGGGTTGCTTGTAGCAAACAGGTCATAACGGCTCCAGCACAGGTCTTCATCAAAAGAAGGTGTGTCTGTGATATAT